CAAAAATGTGGTTATAACGAGATTCTTTGCAACGGAATTTTATCCTGTAAATGATTCTAACTAATTCACAGAGAAGCAGTGGGCCGAAAGTCAAGAGTTTGTTTCTTTCCAATGTATCAGAAGTTGAGTGTCGGTGAATCAGAAGTCAGAACTGGGAACACTTCCGGTAACTTCGAGTATACCCAAGTTCATCCTAGGATCCGGCCTCAGCAACTTCGGCGTACAGAGAAAGCAGAGAATCAAGCCCAAGTCGACGTGACGGGTACTCGAAGGGAAAACCAGGATGGTTCGAATTCGCGGAGAAGGTTGAGCCGTGAGTTAGTGGTTCCAGGCGAAGCCGGGTTTCCCGAGCCCCGTTGAGGATGACACTTCCGCTCGCCGCCTGCTCGAAGAATACGACACCCCTGAAAACAATTTTCTCTCCGCGAACCGGGCTATTACATCCTTGAGCGATCAATTCAAACTTCTCCCGTGGCCGCAGATTTTCTTCAGATAATAGCGTGGTTTCCGCAGCGCTTTCCGCTAGTTTGTGTCGAAAACTTCCCGCCCATTAAATCCCGCTGGAGACGCGTAATCCCCCACACAGACTTTCGAGCAGTTTGAAGCGGCGCCCGCGCGACGCGGTCGGTAGGCGTCGACACACTTTCGTCCGGCCTCTGATCATGTCGCGGGCCGACATTCCGTGCACTGGCCATTTCTCGCTTTAACAAGGGTTCGGCCGCAGCTTCCTATACAGCGAAGGAAGCGCGACCCGGCGTGACCCGGGCACGCGAATCTCTGGACTTTTTCTTTCCCGGGAACCTGGGAGTCGAGGCCGGCGAACGCTGGTTAAAATCGAAAGTGCTCGCGGGACGAGGGAAATTCCCGCGAGGTTCGCTCGACTCCCGACGTATATTGACGCACTTTCGGTTTTGGCTGACGCATGTTGATGAGGGTGTGCTGCTGGGTCATCTTGGCCTCTCGGCTGTTGCACTTCCTCTGCGCCGAGTTTGTGAAAGTGCGAGCATGCTAACACTTTCCGAAGTCTCCGCATACACTTTCGAAAGGTTCACCCGAAAACAAAACCATTCTCTTCCTGCAACGCATGCACTTCACTGACTATAATCCACCCGTTGGCAGGACAGCATCTTGAGAAAATGCCGATGAATAATTATAAATCGGCGGAAGCCCATTTTACGTCCAGATAATGACGCAGGAGGAAATGAAGCTCGACGAAATATTTCGAGAAGTATCAGTGGAAGGAAGAATCAAGCTGAAGGGTTAATGTGACTTTTTTTTTTTTTATCATTACGAAGAAGTTGTAACGATAAACCCTCGAGTACATTTTAACGCAAATCCAGGAAACGAAAAAGTGTTACTGTGTTTAAGACGGGATCACTTTCACACATCAACAATATTGGACTTGCTTTGATTTAGCCACCCACTTGAGGAAAACTTGAAAAAATTCGATGATCTATATAAGGAATTTTTCCTCCTGGTATTATTTCCATGTCGGCATTTTCTCTTGACCTGGGAGTAAGGCTCAGTCGTAGTCTATTTGTTTGAAATATTCCACTCATAGACGTTCGCTTTTCTATCGCTACTTCAAGTATGTGCCCGAAGCCGTCAACTAAAAACGTCAAAAGTCAAAATTCATTTATAGGCAACTCTCACTTCAAAGATATGCAAATTATGACCGTCATATTGCCGGGAAAGATCTTCTGATCCGGTTTGCGTGCGGACGAATCAGGTTGTAACATTTTTAATTTTTCTTTCCTTTCAACTTCATCTTGCTGGCGAAGTTGTGCATTACCTTCATGAAATGAAACACACACATTCATGCTTTCTCTCTCTCTCTCTCTCTCTCTCTCTCTCGATCCCGGAAGCAAAATAAATCGATCTGCAGATAATACATGTGCTTGAAGAATGGTTACTCATGATAGTCCAAAGCTTAAGTGAGTCGATTTCAAGCTGAAACGGCACGTAAATGGCCCAATTTAGCTACCTTGCAGGTAAAATGCTCAAGATGAAAGTTCATTTATCTCTGTCACGATTGATGTCCACTTTCTTGAGTTTGAAGGCATAAATTAGTGTGCTTTTCCGTGCTGAAAGTGTCTGAGGATTTCCCTTCTATCTTGGCAGGATGGAGAGAATTATCCGCAGAATGATACCTGTTCGTCGTTCCACGCACCTTTGGGGGAAATACAGCATCTTTTACCGATTTTTTTCTGTTTTCCTTGATTTTCCCCCGTCTAATAAATCCACAAGTGCTTGAAGTTTCCGATTTTTTTCCTACATGACTAAACTCAGAAAGTCTGTTGACATAAAAGAAAAATCGTTGTATGGAGACTATCATTATTAGAAAATGTTTGCAGAGAAAGTTTGCTGGCGTACTTGTATATATTCATTCCTTTCTTCAGGAATTTTCCAGCAGCAGCTTCAATAAAAGAGCTGTCACTATCGAATTGCGTAGCTGACGCGTGATTAGTCTTAGCGATATCAAGCATGCAATCAAAAGACAACGAACAATTCGCCTCTGTATAGTGAAAAGTAGTAAGTATTTGTTTTCACACTGATTTCAGTACTGACGCGTTATGAGAGCATTTTTCAAGCATAGTTACTGTTCTGAAGTCCATGTCATTGTGACAACCGCCACAAACTTCATATATTCGCACGCGAAGAGAGAAGTGCTGGAATGGAAACGGAGATAACACAATGCAGTTTTTCTTCCTTGCTTTACTTCCACGCGACGCGGTGACCCAACTTCCATTTCCTCGCTCGAAACGCGGAATTAATGCTAGATGTCACATAAAATTTTTGCTGATAATTGGGAAGATGATTTTTATTGCGTGACAGGTCGTGTCATGCGTCATGTGCACTGATTTCCGCGCATTGCTGGTGCTTTGACAACTGCAACATCGATGGAACGTCATTCCAGTCATTCCCAAGGTCTCTGCCGTACGGCTGCAAACACTGATGTAATATTGTTTCTGTACTCAGAAAAGCCTGCTATCAGGTGGATCGAAATGTCCTAAAATATACTTGTGACAGGATTCGCCGAATCGGCTGGTGCTTGTTACTAAATTAACAATGGTTTGCGTAATCAGGAGGCGTACCCCCGTTTTGCAGAATGATACAAATAGACAGGAGGGGGTTTTCGTCTTGTGAATTATCAATCGCGTCTTATGAGTACAAATCAATGGAATGTGTCGGCTGTCGCATCCAAATGAAGCGTTAAAACCTTACCGTGAAACGACGTCACAATCGTACGAGTTATAAAATGAAACCTGACAATCAAAACTCTGACGAACGAATATTGATTGACATCCTGAATGCCTGAAACTTTGGAGCCTCAACCTATAATACCGAATCTTCTTCGATTAAAATGTCGCTCTTCCCTTTTCAATTCAGATTGAATGACATTTGAAGCGTCAAAACTTCTGAAATTTGTACTAGTACGCGGAAATTTTGTCAAGCAAACCCGCTGCTCATTAAAAAATATTCCCTGATCTGCAAAGATGCAACGACGTGATGGTCGCAAAAAAATTCAACTCCGCGCAGCTGCGTGAACTGAAGGAAATTAGATTTCATAGATTCGCTCAAGTTCCTCGGCTTTTGTTCGCAATATATGTTTTTTGAAATTACTACTATACTTGTTCCAGGATCCGTTATATTGCTCACATTCTTAATTTTTTTCATTTCTTACCTCATATTGTGCAGGACATCAAGTAAGTTCGTCCTTAGCCCTATGAACACATTACGAGGGGGTTCCACGGTTCCGTGCGTATCAGCTTCTTGCTGCTGTTATGGAGGAGCTTCACAATTCAACAACTGAAAATTTCAAAGCCTGTTTCAACACATGGATCAAAAGGGCTGAGAAGTGTATACAAATTGGTGGTGATTACTGTAGAAACTTATACGTCAATTTTGCTCTTTCTTGGAGGAAATACATGCACGAAGATTACAATACTGTCCTTAGTTGAACTTCGTGACAATGCGAAGTACAATTTATTTTCTTACGACAGAGCCGGGGTGAAAGCGTTATGTGATTGTTCTGTACTGTATTATTTTTCTTTCTTTTTTTATTCTGGAGAACGCCACGGATATTCCCTTAAATTGTATACCTTGCTGTAACATGAGTAAAAAGAAAATCGGCATAACGTGGATTCAAATCTCCATTGGCATTCGTGCAGATTTCTTTAATTACTTCAAATTTTACGCATAAGTTCAGTTTACAAACTATTCTTCATGATTTTTCACGAAGGTGAACTTCGCAGGTCGAGTTGCGTGAACTGGACCCATCACCTGCAGAAATTTAAAGGCATCACTGAGAAATAACCAATTCGATAAGAATTTCCATGAAACTCTGACCAAACGCAACGATAAACATGCCTCGGAACAAACCAGGTCTCGGCTGAACCTTCATTTTTCCATCATGACCATGTTCTGTTTTTGTTGTTGCTGAAATGCCCGGTACTGTTCGCTGTGCGGTACCGATAAGACGGAGAAGCAACACCAAGCTCCAGGAAGAATGGAACCAAAAAGCATTTCAGACCCATAGCCCACAGCGCGATGCGAATCGCTTGCTCCGAATTCTTTCTTCTTTGTTCAGGCATGGAACGGTGACCCACATGCTCGCCGTACGGCCTCCGTACGCACGCGGGTAACGAATAAAATATAACAAATATCCATGGGTTCTACCGAAATCATGCAGCTTGCGAAAATGTGACCGTTTCTTTGACATGTTAGAGAAGATAGATCGGACCAGACGTAGAGTGGGGCTGTCAATGAGATCCGCTGAGTTCTTGTCCTCCGTCAATGCTCGCACGCTCGTCTGCTGTACCCGCGACTACTGTTCTGGCACATTCTTGCAGTACTTCATCTCTGTACTCCGTTCACGCAATATTTCCGAGCGCACGAAATACTCTGATGACAATATGATGACGTGCTGACGGGTGACCTCGAAGTGCTGCCTCTCGAGACCGAAATAGTAGCATTTACTTTCCTCAAATCTCACGGTGATGCCACCAACAGAGCGGGTTCGTGCGGCGGAAAGCAAGGAACGGATCCTGGTTAAAATTTACGAACACCACTGATGATTTAGCTTCATTTACAGAATTAATTGAAGACTTACATCGAAGTACTGAACTTGAGTTACAGCCAGGTTGGTCCCATTTTGTCAGAAGTTTGGAAACAACACGGCCCTGATTTCCAAGCTGCTCTGTCCAAGAGTCAGGTTACCCGTCAGTCTAAGGTGGGGAATTCGACGAAACGTGTTTCTTCATTAATTTACGACATTTGAAATATTTCTCGAATATGAATCTACCATTGAACTTTAGAGGATTTCAAGCTTCAAAAAAGAATCCACAAATGGAACTTGAACTCATGCATAAAGTTGTTCCATATACAGTAAATTACAAACAGCTTAAGTGCTACAGACTACTTGAAATGAGGAAGTATTCAAGCTTCTTAGCGCCAATTCCTCTGATCAGAAACCTGCATTTAAATGTAAAAAAAAGTTCGGTTCTGATTAATTTTTTAAATGAAGCTGGTTGCCTAGGCAGCAGCAGAATTTATGAATGAGAGAGCAAGAATTTGTTCAACTCATCATGGCTGCAATTGGATTAAAATCCGGGTATAAAACATCGCAAAGAGAATTTATTCCAGCCCTTTCGTTCTTCCTTTACTGGGCTGAAAGACTCCGATTCCGAAATTTGTATAAGACAACATTTTCCCAGCGGTCGGTTATCCATGGATTCACCCGCAATCACTAGCCTCAGCAACCATGACTCGGTCGCCGAACCTGCGTCCCGTTCATTCAGTGGTCGCCTCGCGCCGGACACGAAGAAGGCGGCGTGCTTACTCGTGAAGCCAAGTGAGTTCCGCGTAGAAATCAGTCCCTTCGCATCCTGGTTCGTGTGCTCTTCTGAATTCGCCAGTGCTGGCCATCCATTTGTGTTTTCGCAGGACTTTTCAAATGGTGGTGAACTCCCTATCCCGTGCAAGCATTTGTCTTGCTGGTTAGCAAGATTTCCCTCGAGGCAGTCTTTTAATGCGCAATAAATTGAACAAAGAAATCAAATATATTTGAGTCAAACTCAGAGTGACAAAAAAATCAAGTTTGGGTTTTTTTTTCAAGTTGTGGAGGCCAGCCTTTTTACTGAGGGGAAAAGGATGACTTTCATGAAGGTGAAATCGGTGTTATTCTGTGCCTTAAACTGCTGGATAAATGAGTTGATGGAATGCTGAATTTTGAACATATTTTCTCAATTAGTCACGCACTTCCTTTTGAAATGTAAAAATTTACATTTTTACTGCTCTTCTCCTTCCTGAGTCCCCGGTATATTAGCTCGAAGAAAATTCGAGTTATAGACACTTAGGAGGAAAATCTCGGAGTTAAGGAGGTACTGTATATTTTACATTATTGGTTAAGGAATTCAGATACGAACTCAACAAGCATTTGACATGGTCTTGAATAAAGTCCGACCTAGCAAGATCCAACCATATTTGACTTGGAAAAGGCTCTCCTATAGCTTACTTCTCAAAATTAGCTTTTATACGAACGAAGCTGCGCCTATTTTTGATGAAGTTTGGAAATTCTTAATTCCTTGATCGCGTAAAACCGCCGCAAATTATGCAATCGTTCTAAGAAAAATTTAGGTTTAAACCAAATGACCCGAATCTTTGTAACCTTTTTCAATTCAACGGAGCAAGATTTAGAATCCTAGGATGTTTGAGGCAATTAAGCTGGTGACAGAAAAATAAATCAAAGCAAGAGACTCTTCCTCCTGATTCTTCAGAAATTGAGCTCAATTATAGTGTGTCCTATAATTACAGTAGGTATATTTTTTTCCATTTTTGAGTTACAAAGAATTAGGTTCGTCTTGAAATTTACGGAATCTCATAGATCAGTTCATAGATCAGGGGAAAAATAATGACGATATCACTTAAAATCTTAGGAAGAAGATAGAACAAAAAGTTCAAAAATTGACTTCGGCGAAGGGAGTCATATCCCCCAAAAGAAGAAAGCGTCATGTAAAGAGCATGAGTAAATATCTAGAATTATATATCAACTGAGGCATTCGTGATTCCAGTTAAAGTCGTAGGTGATGGCAAAAAAGGGGTAAACACAAATCACTGAGTGAAACCATTCGTAAAAGAGGCTGAATTCCGCAGTATACTGCATTGTAATCATTTTAATATATGTTGAACATATACAGTGCATTATTTCTGGTATTCTCGGGTACCCTGTCGAGAATGCAAATGGTGCTCAGCTTAAGTGGCTCCTGATCGTCTTTATTGGATTGGTACATAAACAAAAAGTACAGTATCCGACGTGAAAGGAGATAATGGCTCAGAAACGTGACGTGATGTCATTTGGAAGACTGTGGTGTTGAGGGATTGTTGAATATGTGTGAATCAATACATAAATTTAAAGTCACGAATGTGATATTTAGGTGTTCGGGCTTAAGCTACATTACATGGCCATGAGGGTGTCGGCTTACAATCTCCTAGAATTCTAGGAGGCGGTATGTCGACACCCCCATGGCCCAAAGGTTGTGCTTTCAGACAAATATAGGTTGAAAAGTCCTCGAACTACTGTATCATACCGTGTCGCCAGTGTTTCCTTTTCACTGGTGCCGATTGCTTCGGATGTCGCGATCATCGCTGCCTTGAACTGCATTGTGCGCTTTTTGCGCTTTTTGAGCATTGAATTCGTGGCACGTGTGAAATTTCAGTATAGGATTATGGCGAAAAGACGTCGACGAGTCTCGTGTCGGATTCCGAGTTGGTGATAAAGAAGATAGAAGTCGTTATGTGCGCTTGCAAAAAACCCGCGGCGTTGTTTCGCTGGCTGCTCGTCGCGTTTTTGATTTTCAGCGTTTCCGGCGTCTCAATTTTGTCCGACAACCCCATCCTCTCGTTTTTCTTCAATCGCCGAGGTCCGCCAGATCGTGTCAATTTCGAACAGCGTGAGGTGAGTATTTTATGCTTAATGAGCATTTCGAATGCTTGATATCAATTACCGCATTTACGTGAGACGCGCTTATTATGATTCTGACACACGAAGAAATCGGGGGGGGGGCGTCTCGGGGTTGCATTCGAAATGTTACCTCGCGGGGTGATCCCACATTAGGTACCGTTTGAATGTTTAATACGAATCATCATTTACGCATTGAACATTCTCCAGTCATTGAGGATAAATCATGGTGTTGCCTTGCGCAACAAACACCTGGGATAAAGAACATCTTGCACAACTAAGACCCTGTCATCAAGCTAAAAAATAAAAAGAAATAAAACTGAAAACGTTAACCGCGCAGAAAGCGGTCTAAATGTTCTCAGGAAATTCCAGTTCCTCCTGAAAGTACTGTATTTCCTTTCAAGTTTCCTTCAGGTTGAAGAGTTCGAAGATATTGTCTGTGCTTACTTCTGAGTGATTTCACGCTCAGGACGTTGAAGAAGAAAACATAACTTCCAAGATGAAAAACAGCTCAATTTATAAAAGAATGTTTACAGCAAGATTAGCACTGTCATGGAGAGGCTTGCGTACACAAATAAATTCTATTTTCCCCAACTTTCGCAATAAGGTTTATATGATACATTTGATTAAAAAAAAAAAAACCTGATCATCACTAGTCAGAGGGGCTGCGTTAGCCTTCTTGTGCTATACTGTACATGTACGTATTAATGGCAAACTGTACCCTGAAAAATATTACTCGAATTTGTGTTATTCATGCTTCAATTCACCATTGATTCGAATAAACATGCACCTAATGCCCTGGATTTTGAAACTGAAGGGATTCTTGCTTCAAGATTCGCAGACTCGAGTCCCAATATCCAGGATGGTTTCATATTTCTGGAATTTGTTTTTTATTTGAGAGCATCGGGAACCACTTGTCTTGAGACTTTACAGAATGCCAATAATTTTAATTACAAAATGGAAAATTGATTCTTCGATTACCCTTGACTTTGATTCATCAACTCATTAGCTCGGATAATAATTAACTTCCTGTTGTATTCCTGCTGACACGGTTGTCAGCTTCACAAAATATTGCACTCGTGTTCGATTGTTGGTTTTCCTTCGTCAGTGAATCATGTTCCGGAAAATTTCGGTGGTCCTTGGTCTAGTTTCTCGAAAGAGTGGGATCATCCATTTGGGGTGCCCGCATAAGCAGATTTTCGGTATAGTGCCCCTGCGACAATCATTGTCTTCCCTATTTTTCTTTGCTCCCCCCGAACGCCAGCTGCACCGGTTCCCTCCCGTCAAAGACACGCAATGCTCATAAGTTTTACAGACGTTTCAGCGATTCTGGTAACGCTTGTATTTGGTGCGTCATTATTGCGAGAGACCCTTGCATTCCTTCGACGCCTCCGAACACCATAAGGGTTACAAAACGGGAATGAGAAACGAACCCGTGTGACATCGAACATCGTTGCGCGAAGTTCACTACTGTATTTTCCTCACTGCGGCTCGAAGATTCCCATCATTTGGATTGCAAGTTATACCTAGAAAGCGACTGCGATCAAACATGGAATTATTGCCATACATTGGAATCTAATATTTATCAAACTTGTCGCGGTATAGAAGCCGCGTTCGTGCTTGGTGGTAAAAATGCACGCACCTTTGACGCGTTCCAAAAAGAAGAATTGTTGGTACAATATTGAGTGACATAAATGCAGCTATGGTATGTATTATTAGGTTGATCGGACTCGAGTTCTAGCTTGGAATACTGGCGAACATGCAGCTAAATTTTTCAGGCGTTCAAAAACCTCTTCCAATGTTTTTAATTGTGGAATTTGTTTTAGCTCTTCCTCGATTCTTGGAAAGGAATGGATTATTTTCATATTTTTTCACCGCTTTGTTACCTCATACAACTTCATCGTCGCTTCCGCATTTCTTCTGTGCATTTTTTGAACTTTCTACGAAGCTTTGCACATGTTTACTTTCCATGGAATGAAGAGAAACCCAAATGGAGACACCCGCATAGCAGTCGTAAAAGCAATTTGTGTTTCGCTCGTCCCACTTTCGTTCACGGGTATTGGATTGGTTCCGAAGAATTTATGGCGGCGCAACTGTCAACGACCAGCGGCAAAAGACTGCTTAAGTGCGTCGGATGAGACATATATATTTTTTTTTTGGAATCCCTGCAAGCCGGGTCGTGAAATTTTAGGTTTGTTTTCCTAGATCCGCAGCATTCATTATTTGAAAGGCTTTGAAGGGAAATCGGATACATTTTGAGAATTAATTTCGCTGCATGTCATCAAGAGCAGGTTCTTTGTGAAATGGTTCAATGCTAAGTTTCCGAAAGAAAAATAATGACAAGAATGGGGAAGGTAGAAATAGTAGTACAGTAGTAGTGTGGTAGGAACATTGACCTCGTCTTGAAACGACGCGTCTCAGAACAGCGCACCCAAACCAGCGTACCGCAAAAAGAAAACCATGAACCAGAAATTTTGCAGAGCAGTTTCTCAGCGTCCGAAAACGAGTCAGTTTGAATAGGTTAGTATACTAGGCCATTCACCATACTTTCTTTTAGAAACAAGGTCCTGTACAATTTCATCCATAGAACAAGTAAACGACTATTGCAGTTTAATGAATACAGTAGAACAATAATGCGATTCGGGCCGCACCTTTTCTCCCACGACACGTGCCCAAAAGCTTGGGCGCGCCTTGAGTTAAAGATGAACTAGTGCATTTGAGTGTACGCCACTCTGAGCCGCGATTGGTTGAGTATCATCGAGATATTCGTATAAAAGAATCTCACATGCGCAGTTTTTACTCAACATTTAAAAAATTGTTTACATCTTGAAATCCTTCCATGAAAACAGTTGGTTTTGCCGCTGCACTGGCCGCTTTTTCCACCGAAATCTCAAGAACTTTTTCGGTCGAGCACGTTTTCTCCCAAATCTCTGCCCATAATTAAGTTTCAGCCTAGAGTCACACGTGGCTTCCATGATCGTGAAAATAATGCCTTTTTTGTGCGACATTTCATAGCTAGAATGAATAATTACCGATGGCTGCTTACGAACGCGTTCCTTGGGGAGATGCTCAAATGTTCCGGTATCATTTCTTGGAGAGCTTGGGAAATCGTTTGAAGAACTTTGACGATTCTGCATGTCTTTTTATTCAGTACGTTTCTGTCGTGCGCACGTAATCCCTGTCACCATGACAGATACAACAGCTGATGAATTTTTTTTCGCATCAAATCTTACTTGCCAAGGGGATTTTTGACACAATTGGCATCTAGTTCCGTTTCCGATTGAGTACTCGGCATAGTTGTTGGAGCTTCCAGCGATTTCCCCGACCACCCGCGATATCGAACCAACTAACGTCCTTTCAACTTCGAGAACAGGCAAAAAGTCACAAGCTTTCACCTGAAGAATTCCACAAATCCGTTCTTTCCCTTGTCCTCTGTGACGCTCCCACCTATTACGATAAAAAATTCTTCGTCCCCGATTCTCTTTGCATTCGTTTGTCGGTAGACGTTGCAGATATGTGGGAACGGAGCGAACTGAAGAACAATTCAGATGTCGAGACCCTCTCAAGTTCCTCATTCCGAATTGTTCTGGCATAATTGCCAACGAACTTTAGAATGGTAGCATTCCGTTACATTTGCTGGCCTCAATGCTGAAAATGCAATCGGACTGCGTGATGTGACGACAGCATGAGAGGCTGTCCGATTTCCAATTTAGTAATTGCTCCCAAACAATGCGCCCTAAAAAAAAGTCGCAGTAAAAACGGTGTTTTTTCTTCCGGAAATTCATTCAATTGAATATCATTCACGACGAAAGTGTGTCAAATGTTATGAAAAGTTTTACGTCTATTGATTCTGAAAATTATTTCACCGAAGTCGAAAGTAAAAGAGAAATTATTTATCCGAATGAAATTGAATTTCTATCGAGTTTATCGCAAATTTTGATTGTGTTTCCGTGCTTCTTGAATAACCAGCTTAAGACTAAATGGACATTGGACACCTTTTTTACGTTTCCAGAAACAGAAAATACGTATACTGTAGTACAAGGTGCATCACATTGGCATCACATGGAAAGGAGTTTCACTGTAATCTTCACAGAAGCTCAACGAATTCGTAAAAACCAATATCTGGGAGGTGAGCCTTGCCTATAATTAATTTTGTACAAGAAAAACTTTTTTCATGCCAGGCCGTCTTCAAAAGAATCCTCCCCATGTAATTTTGAATAAAAGCGCCAAGCGTATGCTACTTAAAAGAATATTCTTAAATATTCCGCGAAAACTAATATCTGTTCATGGTTCTTGAAATGACAAGGGCAAGTACACCCTACCTGAATACCTGAGGATCAAATCTGGTGCATTTTTAAATTTAATAAACATTTCCGTGTGGATCTGTCCGCGGCGAACTTCCGGGAATGAATAATGTACAACCATTGCTGGCGGTAACCAGACGTTACTTGGCCAGAACATTTTTATTGCACTTTTATGTCTAGTGGGGTCTGTGTCAAAAGAGGGAAGGGAATGCAGACAAATAAAATAAAATTCTGAAAGAAAAATTCCCGAAACTCGAATGGAAATGCGGAATTTCCGACAGCAGGAATGTTGGGGTTGAACACATGGGTTCTCAATGTGCGGTGATGGAAGATTGATGGAAAGGGACACTTCGTTTGCTCAATGGGTTTTGACCGCATGAAACCGAGTCGCATAACATTGTGGACTGATTTTCAAGCTGAAGAACTCCAATGACAATGCATACTGACGTTTTTGATCTATTAACTTTACAATTTTATTTCATTCAAGTCAAAATGTAGCGTTTCAGTTTTTAAACGTCTTTCAAGTTTGTGCTTTGGGACCATGCAGAAAAGAATATTTGCCTTGCATCACAGTTCGCACTCACCCCATATTAAATGCTTCATGCAAAATATCGAGGTGCATATCGTGCAGAAGAAAACCCGCTTTTGTTCTCTTCGTTTTCCAGAATAAATCTAGAGTTATCATTTGCTTGTATATTTTGCGTGGTGGCACATTTGATATACTGAACAAGTTAAGGTGGAAATTCTTTAAATTGCGCGTTTTATGATCATCGATGGAAAAACTACGCCATCTGCTGAAACGGGCTTGAGAAAATGCACTTGATGGAAAGATAAATTTCGTGGCAAAAACAGTCAAAAAGTCAAAATACGGTCGGTTCTGCGCATAATTTATTGGCTCTTTCCACTTGAACTTGAAGGCTTCTGATTTGGCGTTCCTGAGCTCACTTCCTCTACTTTTCCGCCGAAACTTTTGTTGGCGAGAAAAAAAGTGATTTGACACGTGACCGGGTCGGGTTCCCGGGTACGAGAGCGCCGAGACTCATCTTCTGGGTAATTTACGCGGAATGGCTGGAACGGATATCCTGCGCATCGCCTCATGCCAAAATGGGAAGAGCCAGAGGGAAGAAAAATCCGAGCAACTTGCTTCTCCTTCAAGAAATAGAAGGGGACAATGCTCACCAAAGATTTAACAATGACGGCCATCATTCGTTTCCGCGGGTGTGTAGAATCAGTGGGAACGTGCCTCGGTGTATTTTCACGAAAAGATGGGAAACAGATTCGGCGGACTGAAGGGAATTTCTCTGCTGACTCTTCGAAAATGTTTCTTGGGTGATCGCGTGGAATATGCGGAAACGCGTTTGCGCATCCGTTTGGATGAAAAGACGTTCGTGGGCAACGAACGGAAGAGCCTTGGGCGCCGCATGGAGCAAAGTAGATCATCGCGTGAGAAATTAAAATGCGCAGCAACACCACGAAAAAGAGCCTCTTCTCGGAAAAACCCCGACTGCTCAACTGAGCGCCAGGGGAAAGAAAGCGCCACCCAACTCAGTGTTATCCAACTGAACGTATCTCTGTAGTCTGTACATAGTATATTTAGAATGGTTAGTTTATAGGAAAACAAGGCTTTCTTTGATCTCTGTAAATTTCTTCATTCCAAAAGTGGACCGAACCCCCCCCCCCCCCCCATGCATATGTTGATTCATTTGTGTAGCACCAACATCAATCCTTTGCCACATGGGACGTTTTTGCGGCACACGAAAAAGGGGTTCACGAATGATGCGAAGTCTCAGGCTTACTCTGGGTTTCAGTGCTCGATCGACATCATTGTGGCGTGCTTTTCTGCTTTGAATTGTTTTCAATCACTTGGAGTTCTCAGTCAGTTCATTTAGTAGACACCCCGTTGGGCAGCTCCTGGTTTTTCGTGGCGGTCTTTTGACGCCGAACCCAGAAAAGCTCTGGTCTCGAAGCTGTGAGACATGCATGGGCAAGGGAGCAGCGAAAATCGCGCTATGCGACCCGCTACTTCTTCCACTTGGGTCGAAATCGGTGACAGCGTGCCGAAGCTTCGGCGGGATGCTCGAAATAATTGCCAGTTGCCACCTGGGCGCTTCCAAGTGCCACTTATTGGCTGCGACGTGGGGACTCAAGCATGAGGAATGTAAAAAAAAGGAGGAAGTCTGTGAATTGAAGCGGCGAAGACGTTTGAAGGGCGGTTGGCATGAATCCGGGACACTTGTTACTCTGCGTCGCGTCTTTGATCTCCACGGGATGCGTCATGCAAGATCTGCATGCAAATGTTTCCCAGGTCACTGGCTCGGCATCCGGATTTTCCAACCCGGCGTGAATTTAATGAATATTAAATAATTCCTTTGGCATAGGTGCTGTTTCATGTTGCTACCAGTTCGTTTCTTCTTCACAACTCCCGTTTCGTCGTTGATCTCGCATCTAATTATCACAAAGAGAAATTGCTTTCATGAGCCAGCTCCGCGCCGGAACTTCACCGGAAACTTGTGGCGTCATTAGCAAGTCATGCACGCGGAGGCTCGGATAAATAAAAATATGCGCAAAAACGGAAGTTCGTTGAGGAAGTGCTGCTTGCCGGAAAAGCCTCGGTACATGGAGTAGGTGTCGATGTGGTGGTTAATATTCATGAGATGATTCCCGCCGGCGCGTTGTCGTGTTTCGCGCCGCGTTGTCGTGTTTCCCGAGAGTTTTGTCAGGAAATATGCTGCGTTTGATCACCTCGTGGAGTTCTGGGTCTCGGCAGGTTGTCGACGGATGTGTCGAACGAGAGGGGTCGCATTTCAAATGCAATGGGAATGCAGAACGAGTATGCGAGATAGGATGGACGGGCGACATGTGCGACGTTCCGATTTGTCGGCCAGGATGCGATCCTTTGCATGGATATTGCCATAAGCCCGGGGAATGCGTTTGCAAACTGGGTGAGCTGACTGTGTTTCCAAAATTTTTTTTTCATCTTCCCCTTCTTTTCCCCTGCGCTGGTTTTCCCGGCAGTGCGTCCCTGAGGCGCGAAGCCAATTTGAATTCATCACTATCTCGTCATTCTGCCTTTTCATGGACAAGGTTGGCGCGGGGATTTGTGCAACGAATGCATGACGCTGCCTGGTTGCATTCACGGCACCTGCGATGTCACTTGGGAGTGCAATTGCAAGCCGGGTTGGGACGGATTGTTCTGCAACCAGCGTGAGTCTTCTGCTCTGATTTCTTCGATCAACTGAAGTCCCTTGGTAATGTATGGTAACTATGTGTCTTCGCAGCAAAGTGCAAGGAAGGCTGTCACACAACCCGAGGCTACTGCGAGAAACCTGAAGAATGCAAGTGAGTCAGTGCAAAAGCTACCCATTTTTCTCCGGTACTTCTGCTTTTTTGTTGTGGGTACAAGGGGTGGTCCAAAATGTTCTAGACTGACTCGAATACTTTCAATCGCAGCAGTTCATCTTTCAGGGCCACGTCAGGACTGTTCAATATACTTCCCGCCGATTTCAATGCATATAAGCTCTAAAACCGATGATTGAAAAATAATTAAAATAAAGATATTTAGTTTTCCCGAGAAAAAATTTTGAAAACTTCTCATTTTGATGCTGTATCCTCAAAATGTTGAAGGATTCAATTCAAGACTATTCCGGATCTTTTGCCGATTTGCAGCCAAATCGGTCGTCAGCTGGAAAACTTTTCTTGATCACTGCCGTCAAAGTGTATAGAGTAAAATCTCGTTTTAACGAACTGCGGAGGGTCCTGATAAAAATTAATACTAATGAAATTTTTTATAATGAAACTCATGGTTTCCAAAGATTAAAAAAAACTCTCGGTAACACGGTCTCGTGTAGATGCAACTGATTGAATTAGCAATAAAATGCCGTTAAAACGAATCTCGTTAAAACGATTTTTTCCTTGTTACGAATGTTTGTCTGGATCCCAGCAGTTTCTCCATAGGACCCATGTTACAAAAATCTCGTTTTAACGAGCTCATTTCAAGCTGTAATCCCGGAGTAAAGACATTATACTCGTATTTCTTCCCTTTGCTCGTGGATGTACAAACGAGATTATTTGAAAAACACATTTAGACTGAAAATTTGCGGGAAATGAGGTAGAAATACCGTTTTGTTCAATGCTTCTACAAAAGATAGTGGAATATCCGTAAACTCCTAAGTTTCTCTGATGGAATTAAAATAAGAAATGAATATACAGTACTGTTCTTCTCTTATCTAAAACCCGCCTTTTCTACTACTTTACTGTTTGTCTTGACAAAATTGTAGAAAAAGTACATTGGGAAGAATTAGAGTATTCCTTTCAAGTTAGAGTATTCATTCATACCAGTTCGTTTTTTGAATAAGAAGAAAATTATTTATAACATACTGCTTACTTGAAAAATGCATATACAACTGTATTCTCGAATGGAGCTGAACAATTTTCCAGAAATATGTCATGCTGTGTATTTTCTTGAACGCTAACTTTTTTCTACAGAAAGCTTTGCTTTTTTGATGGACTTTTAATGCTACACAATTTTTCTTTTCCATTTTCCTGGAAATTTTCAAATAATCTCGATGGTACATTCTCGAGCGAAGGGAAGACAATTCGTTACTCTGAGATTACAGCTTAAAATGAGTTCGTTAAAACGAGATTTTTGTAACATGGGTCCTATATATGGAGAAACTGCTGGGATCCAGACAAACATTCGTAACAAGGAAAAAATCGTTATAACGAGATTCGTTTTAACGGAATTTTATTGCGTTATTTAATTAATTGCATCTGCTCGAGACCGTGTTACCGAGAGTTTTTTTTTCAATCTTTTGAAACCGTTCTTGACATTCGGACTGCCTGAAAATTTGCCACGTCTCAGAACTTGTGGAACGTACAATCCCATAAACTTGCTTCATTTTTGTGGAATTTCCGTAGAAAAGAATGCGTACTTCGCGCGCCACTCGAATTTGAATAGGACCCCCAAGGTTCAGTCTGCGACGTTCGCCTCGCATGAATGATCGCGACGCGGGCTGTCAAAGTGTCGCGATTACGAGTCGGCAAAGGCGTTTCAGGATCAGCATACGTATTACACATACCACTCAGAACCCGGGCCGAGATCCCGAAACTCCGCCGAAAAGCAGCAATTCTGACTTGACTCGCGTGTTTGACGTCGCTGGTCTTTGTTTAGCATTTATCCGCAATTATTGCTAGCTCGGTTCGACACAACCAGCCCGCCGCATGTGGCCAACAACAATGCCACTCTCGCACTAAGCTGCGGCTTCCGTGAATAATTCAACTCGTGCTGGCGTTAGTTCGGTGACTGCTAATTTTACTGAATCTTGGCCCCGAATCCCGTGGTTGTGTACTGGAGCCGGCAATTGAGCTGTCGACATGGAGGCAAAATTACGAGGTACTGCAGAGGCCGGATAGCGATCGGATGGCAGCGCGCTTTCGTCTGATTGACCTTTGAAGGGGTCAAAGAGACCATCTTGCCGGAAGGAGACCGTTGGAAGGGCTTTGTCTATCGACTTCCATTTTCTCGCCCAGAGAGTACATGAGAGGTCATTTCTTTTCGCTAGACCAAGTATTCTTTTCTCGATTCGAATCAGGCTTTGAGGTGTTCAGGGAATTCCCATTTTATCAGCGGGTTGATCCGGCACACAATTGCTTCCGAGCCGAGAGCGTTGTTCAGCCCTACCTAAGCAGCAGCGACATCTGCTGAGATGCGGTTGATGGATCGGTCGTGGCGATAATGCATACCGCACAATTCCTTTCCCGGTCTGTCCAACACAACCCGGGATTTTTTGGCAAATCATTCTTAGTTGAGAGGCTGCTGTTCGTGGCATGTTGCGAGATTGCCCGGGAGTCTTTCAGTGACACTTATATAGTTTCCGAAGGCAGGGGACGAGGAACTGGGGATGGAGGAGGATCTGGAGCCATCGCGGATAAAAAACGGCCAGTTTCCTCTCTCGCGCTCTCTGCGGAGACAATCATGCTTTGTTGAATTCTAGGGGGGAATCGAACAATTCTGGCGTACTTCTGCTCCGATCCTTACTCTCTCTCTCTCTCTCTCTCTCTCTCTCTCTCTCTCTCTCTCTCTCTCTGTCTC